CCCCAAAACCCCAAAACCCCAAAACCCCAAAACCCCATTTTTTAACTAATTTTTTGAAATAATTATTAAAAGATAACTAGTAAAAATGGCTCAAAATAAAATGACTTCTATTATGATTGAAACTTTGTTTAAAAGAAATTCTGATAACAATCAAGCATTCCAGAACGGCTTGAGAATGGTGATTCTTCCGAAGTATAAGACCCAGCAGATTACCCAATCTGATCAGATCCAGCCGAGGCACTCTTTGAGTAAGTATATTGCAGAAATTACAAATAAAGCAGCTGCTGTATTGCTGGATTTCCTTCCTGTTATTTTTGGCATTTTCATGATTATTTTGTGGTAATGACCTCACTAGAAGCCAAATATCAGTTAAATTTAAGTAGGATAAATAAAACCAAAATATGAAGTTTAAATAAGTCGTTTGCACTGTTTTAGCCAAAATATGCAAGATCTTGGCCTAAATATCCTGGATCGTGGTTAGAGGTGGATAATTTGAGCTCAAGTGGAAAATAAGTTAACTCTGGTCATAAATTATACATCAGAGAAATGTTTCTACATTTTCTCAAAATTAGAAATAAAAGATAGTTCAGCTGATAACCAATCCTGAGTGGATTTTTATTTTGGATAATTATGATATTTGGGTTTTGTTGGGGTCTTAGATTTTGTGAAGAAGTATCATCACAATTGAGAAGACAGGGTTGAGAGTTTTAGTTGACCTAAACACTAATCTATCAAATTTATTCCTATAAAGCTCACTTTTAGTACCTTTGGATATCATTTTAATAAAGATTCTAACATAATATATTTCTAATTTTAATCTAGAGCAAGCAAATATTATCCGGCATCGTCCGAGTTCTCCGAGTTTTTCGCGCGCATCCAGCACTACTGAAGATATTCCAAACTTTTCTCCTCTGAACGCGGTGTCTCTTGAGTTGAACAAAGAGAACCTCAGCTCAGCAAGTACTTCAAATTCTCTTAGTTCTGACCAAAAGAGCGAGGATCTGGGTGAAGATCTACCTGGGAGTCGATTACATCCCAGTAGTCCTCCTGATAGCCCAGAAGTCAAGTCCTCAGAGAAGGACACTATCCCCACAGATAGTGAAATACCTTCAACGTATTGTGTTTGAAGTTGATGAAGTAAATCCTTCTTCAGCCTCGACTCCTCCAAGACACTCTGCTATCGATGTCGTGTTATGCTTTCAAACCATAACAAGAAAGGAAATTCGTGTGATCGAAGTCTTTGTCGAATATGTAGAAAGTTAGAGGAGAATAACCGCATACGTAAGGCCCTGAAGTATCAATCTGACTTGCAAAAACAAAGAGAGCTCAATCAAAAGTCTATCTTTGAGCAAGCCAGAGTAAAGATGCTCCAGGATCTTAGAAGTGCCTGCGTTTCTGACACCAAGTCCGGGCTCAAGTTCGGAGACCTCTTCACTGAAGAGGATAATTACTTGGCTAAAGTCAGAACGCAGGCGTATATGCAAACTATCTGTACCTAAATCTTTTAGTCAAGAAGAGAAGAGCTGGGTGTACAAGGAAGCCTTCCTTGTATACCAGTTCCTCGAAGTGGATCTGGAGAAATCTCAACAGATCCTTGATTGTTTCACCGTAAAGGAGAAGAAATCCGGGTTTAAAAAGGTAGCACTCGTGTTACATCCCGACAAAAACAAGCATCCTCTGTCAAAGGAAGCTTTCCAGAAGGCTATGCAGATATTCAATAAATAATCCTTCTCGTTCAACCAAACTTTTGTTAAGAGGGGTTTTGGGGTTTTGGGGTTTTGGGGTTTTGGGGTTTTGGGGTTTTGGGG